CCCACCCCCCACTCGCATTTGACGTCCGAGCACGCATCGTACCTTCGCGACAGTAGCGACCATTCAACAGGGATATTAGCCAAGTTGAATCTGAGAGACAACCCGTTCATTTTAAATGTAATCATTTAAAACAACTTTGACATTTAAAAAAATAATCAATAAATATCTACTTCATTAAATCGTATTCTATTATTATGGACAAGATGAACAGTTCGCAATATACATAGCCATGTCATTTTAGTTGGTTTTTTTTCAAAACAAAAGTCAGGGCTTGTCAATATACGTGGGTTGGGTTATACACGTCTATACAGGTGCTTGCTGCGGTTAAAATAAATAATTTATAGGAATATAATTAAAATCCAAATACGAAAGGACAGTGTATCCAAGGGAAATTACTAGCGTTGCTGAAGAACGCTTCTATTGCTGCCCACAGATACTACTTACCAGCTAAGTGCTATTTCTTATTTTTATACCGTTTTCTTCTGTTGTTTTGTTCGCTGACGAAGGCTTTCTGCCGACACGTTCGCTGTTTTGTTGCGTTTATTTTTTCAGGTTTAACCCTACTCTGTTTTACTCATTCTATTTTGAAGAAAGAGTGCTCACTTACTTCCCCTTGCATACAATTTGATAAGTGAAAAGTTGTTAATTTAACAAAAAAAAATTATTTGTTTGAACAAAAGCAAATTAAATTATTTGACTGGGAAGAAACAACTTTGAGACATGTAAGAGTCATCTAAGGGCAAAGGAATATCATAGGGTGAAAATGATTTCTTTTTTTTTTGTTACCTCATGCTTAAAGTTAAAGTATTAACGTCTGGTGTGTGTGGTTAATTACTGCAATGACTTAAAATAATAGATCACATTCAAATCAAAGGCTCAAGATTATTATTTTCTATCTGGCAATAGAAATGCATGTACCAGCAACGTACCACCAGGGAGAGGAGTAGGGCAATATAGCTGGAAGAGTGAGGCAATATACCAGGAAGCAGTTTTGGGTAACATCTGGTAGAAGAGTGGGGCAACATAGCTGTTAGAAGTGTGGGGCAACATAGCTGGTAGAAGTGTGGGGCAACATAGCTGGTAGAAGTGTGGGGCAACATAGCTGTTAGAAGTGTGGGGCAACATAGCTGGTAGAAGTGTGGGGCAACATAGCTGTAGAAGAGTGCGGTCAACATAGCTGTATAAAAGTGGGGGAAAACAGTTGGTAGAAGAGTGGGCATCAATTTTAATAAAGAAATACATTTAAAATAACACTTCAAATTTATTGCCTGGCTGAGCATTCTGTTTTAACTTTAATAAAAAAAATTTTTTAAACTTTATAGTTAAGTATAAATTATACAGTCTGATCATACTTAGCTCTCTGCATTTATTTGAAATTTAAATATTTGTACCATTTGACGCAGAGAATAGATACTGTTTAACTATTTATTTATACAATTAGAATAGATACGGTACTGTTTTTCATGAAGGTATGAAAATCTTTAAATGAAAGTGAAGGGAAAGTTGGTCACAGTTTTTTGGTCTCAGTTTTCTCCTATTTTTAAAAAAAATGTATTTATTTATAAATTATTTATTCATAAAGGAATTTTCTTTTTTTTTAAAAAAGAATCAATTTAGAACAGCTATCATGTATTTAGTAATTTATCTGAGGCGAAACTGGATCAGAACAAACAGCAGCATTATTAATACATTTGTTGGGATTTTTATATGCAAGTATATCAATAAAGGGAAATGTGAAAGTCAGATTAAAATTATATGTTATCCCCAATCTAAAAAATTTCCCAGCATGCTGATCACTAATTAAGTCATTAGCGTCACTAAAGGAGTTCATTTACGGCTGATTTCTACGCTTGAGAAATACTTAAGATGTCTTGTATTTAAATTGTTATAATTTAATTTTAAAATGTCTTGGTTACAAATATTTATTTATTTATGTTCTGAAAATGAATATGAACTATGTAATAAAAAAAATCTCCATTTAATTGGGATAAATTATGAATCTTGTCTTATCTTAGAGCAGGTGTTTTGATGAGACAAAAAATTTGACAAAACACCCTACCCCACTTTAAACGTTCATTTGATGATAAGATGAAATCAACATTTTGAACAGGTAGCAAATGTATGTACTTCACCATTTCAAAATATTATATTATAAGTGGCCCATATTTATTTTGAAGGAAAGGTAGTTTCAATAAGTTTAAAAAAAAATTAATTCTTTGATTTAGAATCAAATGAAGTAACTAAATTTGGCTTAAACTTATAAGTTGGGATATTCAAAAATATCAACCCCCCCCCCTCCCCCCTTCCCTCTCCTGATGACAGTTATGTCACTTTCGTACAGGTTATAAACAGTTACCAGTGCCCGCTTCTCCCAATTAAGAAATTATCACTATTTTTTTTTTTTTTAACACTTCACTTTTAGAATTGCAATTTTTTGCCATATGTTATTTCAAAAAAAAATTTCAAACTTCGGCTAGAAAATGCTTGGAGTCACTCACCTGCTGTTCATTGGTTATAATACACTTGACATAAATTGTTATTATTATTATTATTCATATTGAAAAAATTAGAAACAATCAACCATGCTGTGTACAAAATAAGTTGATCAATGTTTATTTCTTTTAGGCTTTGGATAATGTTCATGACAATCCTCACAACATGCATCCACCGAGGCACCTTGGCGACACCACAGAAGGATTTAAATTGGTAGTGAGCACCAATGGATCAGACACGCATACGACCGCTAGACCTCGGACACTGGAGGTAGCTTTGGGGAGAGAAAGTTGTGTTATATGTATTTGGCCAGCCTTTATGTTTTGGTACAGTGAAACAAGGTGAGCTTATAGTATAGCATTAATAGCAATTGTTTCTTTAACCTGTTACGACTGGACAGTAAACAAACCCTGGGCTGCTGAAAGGCCTCTTTAAGAAAAGTTGAGGAGGGAGACATTTTTCAGAAGAAAATTAGTCATAGATCATCACCCACGGCTGACAAAAAATAAAAAAAAAATATATTAATGGACAAAATAAATTTTTTGCTTCAATGGAAGACACTATTGATTGAAGTAAAAGTCTCAAATTTTAAAAAATAAATAGATACACAGCCCAGGTTTGAAGTTTAAATTTTGAGGATGTGTGAAATAGGTGAAAGGAAATTAATAATGAGAGTACAATGTACCGGAGTAGAGGCATTAAACAAACAAAAAAAAGTGAATTTTTATATCAGGTAAAACAAAATTGAGTTATCAATTGGAAATGCTTGTCCCATTTAAAAAAATAAAATTAAACAATAATTGATATTTTATTACCCTATCAGAAATAAAAATTAATCTTTAAGCTTAAAAGAAAAATATCACATAGTTATTGTCTTAACATGTTAGCACTGATTCATAAGTGATGATCTGAAGCAAAAAATTGAATAAACTATTGAATGTTCACTCTTAAAATCCCAGCAGTTAAATAATTGTAAAAAATGGGGGCCAAAAAAGGCTTTATAAAAAAATGTATGATGCTTTGGTTTCATTAAATTTAAAGGTGGTAGGAAAGGGGTTGAAAAAACTATAAATGAAATGATGGAAATAAGTCAAGAACTTTCCTAAGTTTTTAAGTTTAACTGATTTACTGTAATGATAAAAAATTGAAAACAGATACACAAAGACTAATTGCTCCCCACCAAGAGGAGGATCAGTATCACTTAAAAAATGGTATGGACCTTATAACAAAGTAAGAGTTATAAAAATAAAAAAACTAACCTAAACCAGATATTCTGAACTAAAAAAAAAAAAATAAAGGTAAGAAATTAGTTTACATATTAATATTTATTTCCATTTTGTGTAGGCATTTAACACGTATTGTTATAAGTTATATTACAGAAAAAAATTATAAGAAGTCCCATCCATCCCTTCTTGCTCACATCACAACTGATACAGTGACGGGTAACTTGACACAAAATTCCATTCCACCAAACAAACAACTCTGTACATGTACAAAAATGAGTTTACTTAACCAATTATTCACAGTGAGAGAAAAAAAAAATCTATGATTATTATAACATTACACCATACGAAGATGTACTTCCGGGCAACTTCTCATTGAGCTGGACCTTTTAATCATCGGGGCTGCAACAAGGAAAATACACTCACAATGGGACCAGCCTTCTCAAAGATGGCAGCTTTAGTTTGCTGGTATTACTGGCTTTGCCTTTACAGGGATGTTTCATTTCTTAGCTCAGCTGTTAAATCATGAAATACCTATAAGACTAGGTAAGACGTGTGCACAATTGGGACAGTTGAATTAGGTTAGTTAACAGATCCAGAGAGCTTCAAGGATAATTTTAAAGTTCATTGTAATGGAAACCACCCCACTGTACAAAACATAAGATTCTAAACACAAACTAGCAAAGCAATGACACAAGAGAGCTGTAATTAATTCACTAAAGGGACTTTTAACATATTTTTTTAAAAAAATCTACAAGGTTTGATATGCAAAATTTCTAAACAGCGCAATATCTTCAAGCCTTTATATTTTGTAAAGATAAACAAGACTCAAAACTATGAGGTCATCCAAATCTTAACTTTAAATACATTCATCAGTATGTGATCAGGTATGGTTCAGGGTCACTGTATTTAAAAATATAACTGCACCAGTGCCGAATTTCATGTTTTTTCTGTGTGTCAGATAAACAGGAGTAGAAAAGTTTTTTTTCCTTTCTTTTATTGTGAATGGAAACTAACAATGACCTCTAACCCAATACAATCTATCAATGACTATGACAAAATTAAAATCTAAAATATCCAATTCACAACTCATCATGAAAACAATTTCAGCTGTTCTATTCCAATAAACTTTTTTCATATAATATATATGAATCGTAAAAGCAATAATAGTAGTAGTTAATAGAAACAAAAAGATTTTCTGCAAAGACATTATGTAAAAAAAAATTAAATAGATGCATACATGCCAACTTGTATGGTTTACTCATACTTTGTTTGGGTTTTAGGCATTTTAAAAGGTGTACAGTACGTCTGTACAGATTTTAATAGTTTTTCCAAGGCTTTGACACAAAAAAAAACGTGTAAAATGATTTTTTGCACACTACACATAAGTGGCAGTGCAATAAATTCAACTTGTTTCAAAGTGAAATCCTATTGGTCAGTTCAAAATGACCTTTAGCCCAAAGTTTGTAATTGGTAGGCCATCTAAATTTAGACACTGAGCAAGGTTCCATTGAGACCATTCATTAATACTATAGAATCGTCTTTATATCCATATAGAGCCTAGGTATGAAAAGACAACCCACATGACTTTTCCTCCGTAGTAAGATGAAAAACAGGTTTATAAATTGTTTAAGTAAAATAAGTTTGTGTTGTCAAGACAGAAAAAAAATATTTCCCTTCATTGATTTAAATACAATACACTGTGTTACCACAGCTAGCATAATTAATTAAAGAATATGGCTAGTACTAGTTACATCTAAATTGCTATCAAATTCATCATTTATGTCAATTTTTAACAAAACTGCTATTGACCAGTGTATAAAAAATTCAAATCTGATGAAAATCAGTCTGAAAACAAGCTATATTTATTTGAAAGATGCTATACATCTCATCTACACGAAATCATTTTAAAATGTGGGAACTGAAGGGGGGATTATTCATGAAATAAGTTTGCATGCATTCATGACCTTGATAAAATAATTATGAAAAAGTTATGTCATACTTATTTCAAATTTAATTACATTTTGTATGGTATTTCATGCTGTTGTACAAATTTTAAACAAAGCTTTTGATGTCCACAGGTTGGCATGTATGTGAATGAATCAATGACACAAATGGGTTTACATTAAAAAAATCTTTCTGTTTACACAATAAAAATAATTACTTTAGGAAAAAAATGTTCAAAATAAAAATACTCTAACTCTAAGGAAATTATTTCTACCAGAATTGAAGAGCAATTATTTGCTATAATAATTGCATTCAGCGCAAAAATTCATTTACAATGAGCTATAAGGAAGCGCAGAATACTTGGGGGGTGGGGGTGTTAAATTTTTCCCCAATCAAAAAGATGCAAATGACTAAATAAAAAAATGTAAAAAAATGATACACTTTTTAAGCTTTGTACTGGCTGGACGAAGTTTTTCATCTGTCTTCCAAGGGTTTTCAGAAAAGAACAGTCAAACATAAGAGCTACTCTCTACATATAAATCATGAACATGTCTGAAAAAATAACTTAATAGGTCTTCATTTAACTGAATATGGCTGGCTGTTCCAATATGTCCTGTATCACTGCAGGCGTAAGGGATTGCATTTGCAAAGAAAGATTGTAAAAGACTGGATGGAAACAAAGCAGTTAGCATTTATAAGAAATGCCAAATTTTACAAAACAAAAGCCTTAAAAACAAACGAAAAACTAATAAGTTGGACTTAATTATTCTTAAAAAAAAAAATTAAAGTTACAAATTGTCAGCCCCAGCCATTAAACAATATCAAATATTAATTTCCTGTTGATTAATATTGTAAATGATATAAACAACATTCAAATTTGTGAAATTACAAATTAGCATTCTATACCTTCAGCTGTTAAATTTAGCATTGGTGACGATCAGCCTTTTTCAGAGAGGCAAAAGCTCAAGTTAAACATACGATGGCAGTACTCAATAGTAGATGAATTTAAATGTAAACACCTGTGATAAGATACAGCTGGCATACAAGATGTATAAATATAAACCTAATCCAAGACAGAATTATGAGGGAACAACCTTTCCAGTGTCCTCCTTGCCCTTATACCTGGCCTTGCCGTAGGAGAATGGGAGGTACCTATACTTGATCATATGCTGTTGATTGAAAAAAAAAAATAGAGAAACTCAGACCTTTTAAAATATAATATTTTTCAACTCTCATTTGCGAGAAGACACATATTTAACAGGCACACAGTCCTGTCTTGCCACAATGTGTCCGATTCTTAGCACATGTACACATAGTTTTAAATGGACAACCTTTCCAATTTAAACCCGTTGGCTTGATTAATAATTATACCGGTATTTATATGCTGCTTTAAGCTGTTGACATCTTGTTTCATTTTGATGAGGATTTTGGATGAGTATTAGCACGCTCACATTTGATCTTAATATGACTTAATTTTTTTTAAAAATTACAGTAAGAATACTTTTCTAATTGTCACTTTTTAATTTGAAAAATATAAATGGAAGTGTATTAAGACCTTTTGTTTGACCGTAAGGCATAGGAAATCTATGGAATTATCTAGATGTAAAGGGCTTTAAAACTGTAAAAAAATTAGACTTCTAGCGTTACAAATTGCAAAACAAGGCAGTAAAATAAGGTAAATTTGCTTTAACAACAACAAAAATTAGTTGTTTTTTTCACTGTTCAAGTCAGCACAAAAAGAAAAAAAAAGAATGTTAAGAAATCAGAGGCATACCTTGATTTGTCTCTTCATTGTAAGTGTGAACAGGATGAAAAAATACATGACCAGTATAGGCCAGAAGACGGGGATGTTGAGGGCATCAAAGAACGTGCAGATCATTGCAATGATTATGGCTTTCGTAAATGAGTACCTGTTAAACACAGAAAAATGAGTGCATGAAATGTATGTGCAGTCTAATCCCCATAACAACTCATAAAGGGATCAGGTTGTGGTGTGGAAGAGAAAATTGTCAATTTTGGGAGCAAAAAGATAAAAGGCGGAAGTTGGTTGATAGCAATCGAGAAGGTTGCCCTTTTTCTTTCATCCTTCAATTTACCGTTTCTGACTTTGTTCTCTAAATTGCTAAACAGAAGGTAAATTCTGTCCACTGCCAGAGGAATAGATCTTTCCCTGACTCCAAAGGGTAACCACTAAACTACATCTTTATTTTAATTTATAATCAACAATTTATATCACTATGTCACCGGCCAGAATTTTTGTCCATTAATTATGCCTGTCACCAACGTGACACAAAATTGCAGTGAATAATGACAATATATTCCGAAGCATCTTCCATAACATGCGTATAACCACAACTTAAAAACAAATAAATCATCCTGAAAATAAGAGCACATCAGGAATGTAAAATATTTCAATGAAATGAGAATTCAAAGAACAAAAGCTTGAATTGAACATTTAAATTTTGGTAGTCAAATATAATATGTATACAAATCTGTATGCATTTTGTAAAAATACATCTTTCTCTTCACTAAAAATGTTAAAAGTTACTATTTATGTTTATAGCATGAAAATATGATGCAATTAATTTCTTTGCCCTGGAGTTAGTTATGTGTGAAAACACTTTTTTTACACTGTGTTAGGCTTAACCAGCATGTGGGGGCGCTATAAGGGCTATGAATTACATGTGCTATAATTATAACAAGTAACTTTAAGCTGCAATGGCTAAAATCTTTTTAAAAAGTATATGATATACTGAAAAGTTATTATAGTTATCATTTAAATCAGTTACTATAAATACATTTTCTGCCTTTACTACTTTAAAGAATTTCTATAATTAACTTAAAAATAGCCTTGAATCTCATTTAATTACAAATTGTTAACAGAGAATTAAACAAACATTTAAAATGAACGGGAAGAAACAAAAAAGAAGGTGAATAAACAAACCAAAATTTAAACTCTGGTAGCCGTCGCATAAATGGTCTGAACTCCTCACTATTTTTAGTTGGCAATCCAGGGCCATCATCACCATCTGAAAAAAAGAATATGATTGAAAAAGATCACATCTAACAAGCTAAAACTAACATTTGCAGTCTTTCATATTTTCAGACAAATGTTACAAAAAAGTGAATTTTTAATCACAAAGTCTAAATATCAATTACATCAAATGGTTTTTAAAATTTATCCAATTGAAATTAAGATCATCATTAAAAGAAGTGTAAAAAACAACATAAAAGTGTTTCAATAAAAAATATATAATTCGTTAAAATTGGATCTCCTCCCACCCCCCCCCCTTACGTGTTTGAAACATATAATTATCCCAGGGCCTTGGCGTAGATTGGGTTAGTGCATCACCTCACCGTCAAATATCTTAGTCTCCCATTGCCACAAAAAACTCTGCACTTGCAGATTTTTTAAAATTTAACCAATTGAAAATAAGATCAACATTAAAAAAAATTTAAAAAACAACATAAAAGTGTTTCAAAAAAAAATATATAATTCGTTAAAATTGGATCTCCCCCCCCCCCCCCCCCCCTTACGTGTTTGAAACATATAATTATCCCAGGGCCTTGGCGTAGATTGGGTTAGTGCATCACCTCACCGTCAAATATCTTAGTCTCCCATTGCCACAAAAAACTCTGCACTTGCAGAAAATGTCACCCCCCCCCCCTATCAGTCCTGCTCAGGGTGGACCACTTCTCAACATCAATTTAGGGAAAAATTTATGAATAAGTTGCCTTGACTTCATTTGTTAAGGGGGGGGGGCAGCTGAAGCACATTGTACAAACACAATAAGTGTGTATATGGATGCATTGGGGGTGGGGTGTCTTAATATTTTTAATTTTTCTGCGCTTTTAATATGTGGATATATAAATCATTCAATTAATATGAACCAGAAAAAAAACATCTTGTTTAGATTTGTTGAGAAATAGGAACCAAATATGAGTGATATCCCTTATGCAGTATTTTTCTAAATTCCTGGTGATTTATTATTATAAATCCTTTGAAATTCGCAAATAGATCAGCTATAGAGAAAAATGCTTATAAAAACAACAACAAAAAAAAAAAAGATAGCTTGCGGGCGTCCTCAAGACCCTTTGCCGCCCCCCCCAACCCCTGCAGCATTTTGAATTAACCCCATATCTGCTGTCATCCTTTATATATCACCCCAAAGTGACCTATCTGTGAGTAAACCACAAATTCCCACTTCAACAACCCCAAACTAAGGAAATGGCCTAAACAAAGAGTATATGTTGTAACTTTTAAAAACCTTATTACCGGTACAATTATTACTTTCCAAATAAATATGATTAAACCGTCTTTCTTAATTAAAGATCCTATTTTAGTGATTTAAAAGTTTTAATGGGACAAAAATTATATAATTAGTTCCTGTACATGATTCTTAAGCAAGCGAGTAATATTTGCACTAGCTGGCAAGCATACAGAGGAATGAACATGCCAAACGAGAATCAAAAAGAGAAAACATCCACTAACCTGAATCCTCATATGCAGCTGGGTCTATCTTAGGTGTAAGGAAGGCAATAAATAGATTCAGCAGGTATATGCCTAATGCATACGTAACTATATACCAGCCCTAAGAAGAACAAAAGCAGAAAATTTCCATTATAATTATGACAAAGAATCATGTAATGTCATTATTTAAATATCAAGCATTTCCTATGATATTTTTTTTTAAAACTAAAATAATAAAGATTTATTTCATCTAAATTACTGGTACTGTCTAAGATTTTAAAAAAAGGATTAAAAAGTTTAGGATAATTACTTGTAAGAAAAACACTCTGAATGAGTAGGCTGCACCAAAAATAACAGCGAAGACCCATCTGGCAATCACATGGGGTGTAGCTTTGTCTAGGTAGTATTGATGCCTCTGGGGGAAAAAAGATGGGTTATAGTCAAAATAAAATGAACTTAAGTTTTTTTTTCTCCTCCACGGGCTGATTTGTTACTTTATTTAAAATATGACAAAGTGTATCAGTTCATTCAACAATACTTACATTAGAAATTGTCTTATAGAGCTTGTAGGCTGCCCCTGGTGGAGCAGGAGCAGAGTCACCTGGATTCATTTTAGTCAGAGACTCTGTTCCTGTAACATTTAAATATGGTAATAATATCAGTATTAACCAAATTAATGCACATTGACATGTACATCATGGTCCAAAACAAATTAATTTCAAATAATATCTATGTCAGAGAGGACTTATTCTTTTACTGAATTTTAAAAAAACACAACAAAACATGGCCTGCTCAATCTCACCCTCACACTCGACACAAATGATGATTTCTGACTCTAATAATTCTTTGAAAATCCACACTTTCACAAACAATTGTTGTATTCAAATAAATATTTAACTGAGTTGCACTCTCTTTGTATCCAGATTCAAACAAACTTTATTAAACCACTAGTCAATATAACAGGCGTTGCCAAGGATACTATTCGTAAAAAAAAAACTTCTATATCTTTATCGGCTTACATCAAAATTAAAGGCCCGGTTAAAAAAAAGGCACTAACTGGCACTAAAGAATTTTTTTCTTACAATTTTTGAATTTTATCCAATAATAAGACATTATAATAACTTTTGAAAACAGTCTTGAGCCCATTAATATTCAAGATGGGCCAGTGAAAAATCACGATTTAAAAACAAATCAGAATAGAAAAGTTGTCCCAGTCAAAAAGATTATTCACCAATGCCAAAGCTATGGTAGTTCATCACTTGAAATAAAATAGGATGTGCAGCAGGATCCTGTTCCCCAGTGGGAATCTTAAGGGTATGTTAAAACCCATTAACTTCATTTATGTATGTAGCTGAAGACATGATGAGGGAAAGTTAATTTGAAACTTTCTAGAAACTTTCAAAAAAATATTCAAATCTTATTTCATCACATCCGAGGAAACTCATAATAAACATTGAGTAAACTCATAATAAGGACATTTATATTAATTATATAATCCTAAAATGGTTGTAGAAAAATCAAACCTACTAGAATAAAAACTATAGAACTAAAATAACATTTTCATAAGCTTTTACATCTGAATTTATATCCTTGGGGAACAAAATAGAAATTTCTGGAAAATTCTAGATTTAATTTAATCCCAACAAGACACTTTGAGAAAAACGTCTCTTCTATGTACATTTCTTATGAACACGAAAAATAAATGAAATACCTATTTTTCTTTTAAGATTTAAGTAAAAACCTAGTGTGTGCCCAGTCCATAAGGTTCCGTTTTATTTATGTCTAAGGTAAGTGACCCTATCAATCAGATAAATATCACAGTTGTCCCATTAAAATCTGTTGAAAAATCCAGGAGTTCTAGCTTTTAAAATTATAGAACTTTCTGAAATATTCTAGACCGGCACTAAATAAAGAGAATATTATTATTTTAACATCAACAGATATTTCATTATAGACTATGAAGGGCATGTCTACCAACCTTGACGTAGATTGAAGGAGAACCCTATACTGTTTTCTATGCCTACTGGTATTAATATCCCTTATTTTCTTATAAAAATAAAAGGAAATATGAGTTCAGTACCGGGTATTTGAATATGGATAATTTCAGTGCATTTGCACTAAGTTTGGTTTAGAGCCATCCACCCATACAATAGCCAATATTTTAATTTTTATTTGAATAGCTCATGTGAATAAAAAAATGGACTAACTTGATGAAACCTTTTGTTCTGAAACTATTATTGAGCTTTAATTGGGATTAGATGATTCTGATAAGAAAGAGGGGGATGAAATAGGCCTACTATAGTTCAAAATTTACGCCTACGGGAGCCTGTAGGTTTGACAGGTTTTTGACTAGTGTCAACATAGATATTGATTTAGTAAGATCGAATGGACACGGTGCTAGCCGCACAATCCCCTAGTGTGCCATTGCCAATGAAAAGTTTGAACAAAACACTTTAGTTTTTAAATAAACTTTCACTTATCCATTTCTGAACAGATAATTCTCTAAATGTTGTTATCAATTGTTTAAAACAACAAAGGGTAAATTTTTGGTTAACAGTATGGGTTTTGCCACTCACTTTGGCGAATCCCAACACTACACTTACGGTGAAAACACCCATTTTCTGTATGACCCGAACTATGTGTGTGAAAACATTCCTGTACTTTAATCAGCATTGCTCACGTCATAAACCATATTAAAATGAAATTTTCCAATAATTTGTATTAAAATTCAACTTAAACATTTCAAAAGAAAGGAAAAGGAAACACATCCTTGCCGATATCCCAAGACCCAACACCAGCGGGAAAAAAAAGATATGTGCCAAAAATCCAAGTACCCGTATGTAATAAAAGGGAGACTACTGCTTAAATTGCATTTGGAATGATCTTCTCTGGACTGGGGAGTCCCCCCCCCTCCCCTCCCACAACTTTAAATAACAATATAACATAAGAAACATAGAAACCCTGTGGGGTGAGGTCTCCCCTCCCCGCTATTTCAAAAATGTAAAATAAGAAAACAAAAACTTGCATCACATGAACACTAACATCGAAATCTTTTGAGAACATCGCTTTAGACTGAAGTTTATTGGGGAGAAACCTCTGGAACCATGGAACACATCAGCAGCCTTACCGCTAACCCAAAATCAACCAAACAAAGTTAAAAAATAATTTTCAAACCTATCAAATTTTCGCTCATTCCAAAATAATGTGTGGGCCACAGGGAATAATTAGCAACATAATAGCTGGGATAGGCTATACAACAGTGGTTCTCAACCTTTCTCATGTTGTGGCGCCCCCAATCACAACATTATTTTCGTCGATACTTTACTTTATAACTGTAGAGTATATGTGTTTTCAGATGGTCTTAGGCGACCCCTGTGAAAGGGTTGTGCGACCCCGAAAGTGGTCGCGACCCACTGCTATACAAGCAAAAAGTAGGTCAGTACTGTAACTGTAAGGGCAAAGTTCATTAATATTATTTCTATTTCTATTCTTATTTATTGGAGAAAAATGTATCTAGACTCTGTATGGAACAGGTCATCAGGAACATATTAAAGACGAATAAACAAGTTTAACTTATTGCATTAGGCCCTAAGTAATTTAATACAATGAAAGTATTTGTAATTGTAGGACATACTTCATAGTTGGCAATTAGATTTAGATCTTGCTTGGATGGGATGTAAAAAAAATGTTCCGATTATCGAGAAAGGGTGATGAGGTGGCACATAACGAAGTAGGTTTTCGAAGATTTAGTAATAACAACAACTTTTATTTTTAGCCCACTATTAAGAATAACAATTACCTTATTAAAAATATAATAACCGGTGTTGAAAAATGCCAAATTATAGCTCATTTACTTTAAATAGCCACGTTAGAAGCCAAGATTCTAAAAAAACCGGAAGTCGCCATATCATTTTAGGCTACGACACAGCTTCCGTAACTGGCCATACTTTTTTTACATTCAGTGGTCAAAATTATTAATACATTAATTGTTTTTAAACCTTTGCCTTTTTGATGTAATACTGAAGTAAAACAATTTAATTTTTTAAAAAGTAACATAATTTACTATTTTAAATTAATGTTCAATCTATAGGAAGTCAAATCATGAATACAAAATTTGCAACATAATAATTATCGACAAGAATAAGAAATAGAAGACAGTTGCTAAGCACATTGCAGGGAGAGCTCTTCGATAAACACACAAACCAGAATGTACAGTACAGTGATTTGATGTACATGTAGTCTGAAGATTCTTCTGGAGTACATTATTGTTGATTAATTAAATCAGAGGTCCCCAGAAATTTAGGATTATTGCCCACATTTTACAAAAATAATGTTACCCGCGACCCAACTACAGTTTAAAAAAAAAAAAAATAAGCTAGGGCCGTGGAAAAAATAATACATAAAACTGAAGTATTGTAAAAATAAATGTACTTTCTTAAAGCCATCAATAAAAATTTAAAAGTTCAACACAAAATTTATTTTTAATCATCTGTTTCAGCTTCTAAATAATTAATAAATAAATGGATTCAAAAAATATATTTAAAAGAAGAAAAAAAAAGGCTTAAAAAAAAAACAAAAAAACTTGATCCCATGCCCATTCCCATAACCGATTGATTGGGAACCACTAACATAATGAAACTCAGCATGGACGCTCGCTGGATTTTAGGCACGGTGGTGGTGGTGGTGGAGGGGGGAGGGGTCGGTCAATAAAGAGTAAGAGATATACATGCTGAGCAAGGATCTTAGGTCTTAGCCGAAACGTTCAGCTGTTATTCACCCGCTATTTATATTTCAAGCTCGTTTTACTATTTCCTTCACACAGCTTAATATCAGACTTCATGTAGTATTTAAATATTTAATAATTAATGTCTTAATTAATTATTAAGTTCAATTTGTCTTTTTTTTACCTCAATACTAGTTATTAATGTAAAATTAATCAATGATAAGGGTGACTAAATTATGTCACAAATTTTAGCTAATATGTGGTATGTTATTATGTTACAAGCCTTTTTACCCCCACCAACCCCCCCCCCCCCCCCCCCCCCCCCCTTCCCCATTGAAGATGTTCATCAGTAAGAAGGTCCTGAACTTTGAATTTTTAAAGTTCTTAGTGGAAAAGAACTTTTCACACAAAAAAAGGCACACGCTTCGCTTGAACAACCTGGAAATCCCAGGGAAGGTGGAGGGCAATGTTCTCATAAATTATCCATGCATGTCAGTTTTTTCCATTCACCTCCCTGAACTAAGAATTGCACTGAAGATCAATCAGCTCCATTTGAAGCGCCAGTGGGGGTGGGGGGAGTGTTGCATCTTCCAAACGGAAGGAGAAATGGTCAGCAAAAAGTTGAAAAGTCGCTCTGTCTGTTTTGAAGTCTAAAAACATGGGATCAAATTGTTCCTGTAGCTTTGTATTGGCATCAGTATAATTACTACTGAATGTACTTTGCATGTTGGGGAATGGCAGAGATTTCTCTGAAAATCATAACACAAGTTTTGTGCAGAATGCCCTGACATAGTCATTGGCAACACTGACAAGCTAACCCTGGTCATGTAACTTCTTGTTGAGTAAATTCAGCCCCTGTGTAATGTCAACAAGAAAAGTTGAAAAGCCAAGTCCATGAGCCATTTCAGATCAATTAATACAAACAGTAGGCAGGGGCAGGGGCGGGACGCGAGTTTGAAACCCCTGCTATGAAGCCTTTGGTTGACCGCTTTTAGATCACGCGTCTTCAGTCTGGGACCCATTCACCCAGAAAAAAAACATTGACAGGTGGGAAGCAGCACGCTTTGTCCTGAACCGCTACAGGAACACCTCTAATGTTGGCAGCATGCTGGAAACACTGGGCTGGTCACCATTGGAGGTAAGAAGACGATTATACAGGCTCTCCTTGACGTACAAGATAAATAATGGGCTGGTCCACTGCTCCAGCATTAAGCAGATGCTCTTATTTTGAAATTTTAGTTTAAATTTTTAAGGTAGATGTTCCTAATTTTTAAATAATAAGGTTATACATTAAAATTTAAAAAAAAAAAAAAAAGAATTTACTTCATCTAACAACATTAACATTGCTTTATTGCATGTTATGAATATTATAATCAGTTAAAATACACTTATCATAAAAAAAGAATTTACTTCATCTCACAACGTTAACATTGCTTTATTGCATGTTATGAATATTATAATCAGTTAAAATACACTTATCACATTTTTTTGTTTGCGTTCACCCCCCCCCCCTTTAATTTTTCAGTTCACTGTTTGTCATGTTTCCTTTACATAATTATAAATATTAATTAATTTAAAATAAAATTTAAAAACTTTAAGTACATAAAACTACTCTAAAATCAAATGAACCTGCAATGACTTTTCAGTTTCACTGGAAGTTTTTAAATATTTTGTAAAAATTTCCCAAGTTCTTTTTCACAAATTTTTCAATTTTCCCTTATCTAAAATCAGGTAAAAATATGTTCTTAATTTCATATAAAACTGTTTCGCTTTCTTAAATATCTTTGATTGTGGATGTCTCCTGAACATTTGGTACAATTATCTTAAAAATTCAAAAAAGTTGTGGAACAAATGTGCAGAAATGTGAAAAGTTGGTCACAAGTTTCGGGGGTAAAATATATAGATTATGTAAGGCACTTAAAAAGTAGTTTTTTTTAAAAAAAAATCATAACTCCACTTCTATGAAAGTTGAAATTGATACTTTTGGAAAGCTTATAGCTAACCGTTGAAAATGATATATCGTATATCTTTTCTGGCAAGCACTGATCAGCAATATTAAAAATCTATGTCAAAGCACCTAGTTAAGTATTGTACTAAAAGGTTTCGTATAAAGCCTATATAATATAAAATAATTTACGCAGTTTATTACTTTTTAACAAAAATAGTAGGTTATAATTTATTAAGAAATAATTTTATAATCAGTATTTATTTTCTGATTTTGTATCATTTGTTTTCATAGTCATAACCACTAATAAACACTAAATAAATTTCTTTTAATTTTAATAAAATGTCCAAGCAAAACAATATATTGGTCAATTCGGAATATCCCCGCCATGACGTCATTTCGTGCTTTTGTTAAGTTTCTGTTTTGGATTCACTCCCCTTGTTGTTTTTACTAAGAGTTAAATTGTCCTAAATATGGCTATTGGATTTTTTTTAATGAATTTTTTTTTAATTTTGTTTTTTTAAATTGATAAACAAACTGTGATGTATATCGGTCCGAATAAATTAATATTTCATATACAAAAAAAGTATTTGACGATTAAAGCAATCATGTTTGCTGTGTCCCCCCCCCCACCCCACCCCCTAAAAAAAAAAAAAGCCATACGCGTAAAACGAATAGCCTCGTTTCTATGTATACTACATCATTGACGACGATATCCATCTATTTATAGATCGTTAAGACGAAAAGATAAATTAACATAAACAGATTTGACCGAAAATCCCAAGCGAAAAGTGCGCCACAACAAACTATGTTAGTTTATCCATGTGCGCAGATTGGGTGCGTCTGTCAGCATTAAAAGCACTCTGCTCTCATACCAGAAGTGAAAGACTTAAAAAGTCAAGGCGGGCATATGGTTTAAGAGCTGTCCACATCGGTTTTGACTTAGCAACCCTTCATTTCTAAGATTTTCTAGCTTTCCTTTGGTCAGTTTACTTTCAATTATTTCATTACGATGGGTGCTAAGCGCATATCGAAGGGACAAAACAAATGAATAAGTACTTAGAAGCTGGAAGAACCAGAAGAAGGTTTAAATTGGGGTTAGAAGAGTCAATAGTTGAAGCTAAATGACATCCTTATCTTTCAGGGAGATCATTAAAATTAGAGAATTCATTTACTTAATGAACAAAATTATTGCGCGTTCATTCACAAAATTTCGACGTTTAACTCACATAAAAATAACATTTTAAAAATATCTACCAATTTGTTTGAACTTTTGCAAGATGCTATATTATATACCTGTCAATGTCAGGCACTAAGGATATTGTAATGTATTAATAAGTACAAATTTTACCATGCATCAAAGTTTGATTTTAAAATGTCAAATTAAGATATTTATTCAATAAATTACATTTTTCCTAGTTGTCGCCAAAGCTAATCTATATTTCTATATAGTATGGTTTGAAAAGTATAATAAATTTGAGCTTAAAACATTCTTACTAATTTTGTGTGTGTCTGACATGCCATTTTCCAGCATTCCATTTTTTTTCTCAATGTCAGCAAACTATTATGTTACACGTTTTAATGGTTATTTTATGTGTTATTATGGTAGAAAGACTATTCCTCTAGTTTCTGTGAAAATTTATTTGACATTGTAACTTTAATAGTTATTTTTTTTTTTTTGTGGTGAATTTTTGATAAGTCGACCTATGTTCTGTGTGTACCTCCTCCCTTAATAACTTATTGAAATTATTCACATATTTAGAGATTCAATAATAACAAATCACTTCATAATTGACAGTGATCATAGACAGTTCCGGCTTCTCTGTCAAATGAAATAAAATATTAATTAGGGGACATTTTCATAACACCACCCCCACCCCCTTAGTGGGATGAATAACTTTACTACTATATATAGGAATGATTAAATGTTCGTTTGTGGGGGTTTTCCTCATTGCTAAAAATAAATGATTTATATAATAACATCCAGGTCAATGGAAACTAAATTTCCTCTAGTGTCTTTTTCTGTTGCTCACATTTCAAGTTTAAAATTATGAAAATCTAAATTCAGATATGCGCCAAAATACTTCCCTGCATTTTGAAATGTATCAAACATTTTATGAGAAGCGGCTCACTAAATAGCCTTTCAAGACAGCTTACTGTCAGACGGGATGATTGGACTTGTCGGATTTCAGGACACCCCACCCTTGATCAAAATGACAGCCCCACAACATTTTTTTAAAAAATCGTTGGTCAGTCAGGCCCCGTCCCTTAATGG